TTTTTGGGTTAACCGCGGTCTCTTGAAACCTTCACTGAGCTCTGCTTTTCTAGCTTCAGAAAGTACAGTGTACATTAGCCAGGAATTCAGCGGGGCGTACTACAGTAGCCCTAGATATTTCGCGTTTCGCGGACTGGCAAAAGCTGACAAAAAACTAAGGTAAGTTACGTACCACATTATGTCCAGCGTCAACGAGTGTATCAGCCACTTTGGACATGAACTTCATGTGGCTTATACCGAATTTCGGAGCAAATACAAGAATTTTGTAGGCAGGACATGTTCAGTAATAAGTAGAAAGTATACCAGGAAGCAGCTGGACATAATAGTTTTGCTAGTTAGTAATGAAATCAAGAATCGTTCAGAAGTAGACTTTCTGTGCGTTTTAGAAAAGTTTCCTATGTCCAACCCACCGATCCTCTTATCAGAACCAGATAGACACATAACTCTTGTGCTTGTTCATTTGTTCATTCAGGTACACACTGAGTAAATATATTGAAAAAAGCTAGAGATAAGTGAAAAAGATCGTGATAAGCACATGATCGTACAGTGTACCTGACCCATAGGTACATATTTAGTTATAGTGAAAGGTTTACATCGGAGCTGGAGGTCGATTGAGGCTTTGGGAAGGTGTTTGTTGGTGGACCTGAGGCGATCAGCAGTCAAAAGTGAGTTTTCCTGCTGCTTCCATGTTGCCTCCTAGAGCCTGGTCTCATTCATCTATTACCCTCCCTATCATATAGACCACTGCATGTATGAGTCGATTCGTCTGTCTTTCCTCAAAGTTCCCTCTTTTCAGGCCATCTGGCTGAGTGGCTTTCTTCGCCCTTCCGTACGGCAACGTGGTTCTTGCTCATGTTATCCATTAACGATGAGCGTTCACGCGTCTCCACTTATCGCACGCTAGATGAGGGTTGGGAACTGACCAGGCCTTGTTTAAGGCGCCTTCACAGATCTGCCTCCTTTGACACGTACTCAGCCTACTACGTTCAAAGCTAGACCATAAAGTACGTCCAGCAATCTCGGAATGTACCTTTAGATAAGGCCGAGCCCCCCGCGATGTAGGTTTTGATGAGCTGCAAATATTGTTGAATCCGCCATGTGGGTTCCAACCTTCGAGGTGATGTTTAATGCAGCACGTCAGCCACTGTGATTATAGCCCACATCCCGACACTGGAAGGAGAGTTTGAGGAGAGTGCATATTGTGAGAATGGAGCATTAGAAGCGAGTCGAGGCATCGGCACATTACGAGAATATTTTATAGAAGCCGACTAGTAGGTAACTGAATAGTACGATAAACTCATAGAAAAAAACTAGTCCACTTGAGATCTTCAGATGCGGAGAGGATAGAGAAAGTCGACGTCACAAAATACTGCTGCTTCGACTGGATTGGGTCCTGGTGCGAATGCTGCCTACGTCACTCCCTTACAACGCCTCTCTCACATACACGAGTGCAGACACTCTCCATTGAACCCAGGGCACATCATTAGTTGGGGATTTTGGTAGTTCGTTCGATACCTTCCCCGCCTAAAAGGTGGACTCATACGCCCCTCCCCCTAGTCCTCTAATACGATCGAGTTGCTCAGACCAATTACGACCCTCCCCAGGGCACAGCATTCGATGGGGATTTTGGTCGAGCTTTGACCACCCCTTTGGGGCTGGTACGACCCCTCCCCCATGCTCGTACGATGTGTATGCTTACCTGGATGGCTGACTGTGGTTGTGGTTTATACTCGGCGAAAAAGTTGTCGAGCGGGGGGGGGGGAAATTCATAAAACTCATGAAGTGAACCACGTAACTCCTAGCCAGAAATACGACCCCCCCTCCCAACAACGACCAAATACGACCCCCCCTCCAAAACGTCCGCAAAAGAAAAATCAACTATAAAAATAAATTTTTCCCAGCCCAAATACGACCCCCCCTTTTGGCGGCCAAATACGACCCCCCATAGGGAATCCCCATCGAACGCTGTGCCCTGCCCTTCCCCCCTGTTGAGGAATCCCCAACAATGATGTGCCCTGATTTAACCGCCTGATATGGGCTACACAGAAACGCCCTGCAATAGAGTCCACAGGTCTCCACCGGAATGTTTCGAGTGAAAACTTTCCCAGAACTCTATGGTGGAGGCGACATGGGCAATAGTTTCCAGTTGTGTGTGATTTTTTGCTATTACAGTGGCCGATATTCGTATAGTACACTGGATTACGAGTTTAGAATAATGTTTATACTAGTGTTCACAGGGCACCATGAGCCTTCTGTGAGGTGGGATGGGAGAGAAGCGGGGACGGATGTAATGCGGTTATTTACCTTGCAGATTTTCCTCCTAATGATTGGCGGCGTCTTCAGTAAACTTACCTACTTTTTCTTACCTTGCTTGACTTAATCACTCACATCATTGATTATGCTGTATATTTATGTGCGATATAATTGGCTATACTGTAAGACCACTGCACTTTTACATAAGAGACCGAAAAGAGTTTCCTGTCTATGGTAAAAATCAAACGATTTTATCGATGCATGCTCCTTTTTTCTATTATTAGTACATGATGCAGTTTCGGCATGAACTGCTCAATATAGAGACTATTTTGACTCTTAAGAAGAACTCATGATGGTGCTCTAGGATATGTCGGAGTGGAACTTACATGAGCTTACGAATGCTGCATCATGTCCTAGTGATGCCCACTTAAAAAATTTCGTAAAACGTTTCAAGGTGAAGTGCACAACCTGGCACCGTAGTGTCATGGATGGAATTCCATGGAGACGGCAGGTGGAATTTCAGACTTTTTTTTGCAGCTGCTATCTATAGGGCCGCAATCCACAGTGCCAGCCCGTTCGTACACAGTGCCAGCGAACAGTACGTAGTCTCGGTACTTCACACAGAGGACTGCAAAAAGAACAAGAAAGTGGAAACTGCTCACTATTTGAAAAATAACCTGCTTTTGAACTATTACGCTGCCGAAACATCTGTGATCTACTAAAGGCTTTAAGGCTCACCCGTATTTCAAAATAGTAGCCATAATGTTTTGGTGAAGGGCACGATAAATCCCCTAAAAGTGTATGGTTAATGCATATCCAAAAAACACTGCACCCCTGAGCAAGCCTTACATGGCCTTCTCTGACAAAGGCCGTCTCTAAGCGTGAGCAAGGCTTAACATATCCACCCATACTCCCACTAACAACGACACGCCCACAAGTATCCACACCGATGAGCAAGTGATTCACGAGCAAACCAAATTGTCGTGCCCACCACCTCTATTAGGAGATCACATTTTCGTATGCTGCGGACAAGGTGAAATCCACTGCGGAGTAATACTCTTGTAGACAGGCCGTGCGCTATACCAGTTCGTGCGATTCATTCCTTGTCAAGGTAGACTGACCTGAGACCTGCGAGACTGTCCCAATTCCATTAACAAGGAGGCGCGATAACATCAGAATATGCCATCACTTCCTCATTCCAGTTAGTTTCATTTCATTTTCATTTTCATAATTAAAGCAACTATCCGTGACACTTTTATCGCGGGAGCTGTCTTTAAATGTCCTCTCTGTGAAGTACCGAGACTACATACTGTTTGCTATAGCACAGACGGCTGGCACTGTGAATTCCCTATAGATAGCAGCTGCAAAAAAAAAACACTGAAATTCCACCTGCCGTCTTCATGGAATTCCATCCATGACACTACGGTGCCAGGTTGTGCAACTCGCACTTCACCTTGAAACGTTTTACGAAATTTTTTAAGTGGGCATCACTAGGACATGATGCAGCATTCGTAAGCTCATGTAAGTTCCACTCCGACAGGTCCTAGAGCACCATCATGAGTTCTTTCTTAACAGTCAAAATAGTCTCTATATTGAGCAGTTCATGCCGAGACTGCATCATGTACTAAACAATAGAAAAAAGGAGCATGCATCGATAAAATTGTTTGATTTTTACCATAGACAGGAAAGGACTGCCTCGTACTAATTGGCTACATCCCCTAACTTGGTTCGAATGTGAGGTGCTTGGAATTTTTCATGGGCGTTCTCAACGATGAGACGCTGTTTCAAATCGGCTTTCCGTATATTATGGACTTTATTGCTACTGATAGCGAGCAGCTTCTACGGGTTTTATCAGAATCAGCCAGGGATGTTATTCTGGTCCCCCCATGGGCAAGGATGTCCCGAC